CACATCAGTCCCGGGATGTCGTTCCGTAGTCCCAAATTAAAACACACAACAGCAACACAAGAATACTAAACTAAATGCTAATTTCGTACTAAGTAAACAGTCAATTCTAGCCTAACATGCTTTACGTAATGCAATTAAGGCAATTTAAGCAAATAAGCAATTAAGTCAGCTAAACATGCCTTTCTAAACTAACAGCATGCTAAATTTGCAAGTAGAATAAAGCAGGAAAAAGGAACTCAATTGAAATACTTAAAGTAAACCGGATTTTCAACAATTAGTTCAAGTACGCGTTCGTCACCTCATGTTCAAGGCATTTCAATTATCATGTATATCATATCCCAAGGAGGAGGTCACCCACACAAGGTTAGACAAGCCACTTACCTCGAACAAGCTCAAAATCAACCCGAAACTACTTTTTTGCCACGAGTATCCGACCCCGAATGGCCCAAATCTATTTAAATTCAATTGCATATTGTAAATAACACTTCAAGTACTGATTCTACAATAAAAGTCTAAGCTAATACGCGAAATTATGTAAAATGATCAAAACTCCCCTCGGGGCCACATCTCGGAATCGGGTGAGATTTACATTTTCAGAAACCTCGTACTCTCACGAGTCTATACATAACAAGAACACTAAAATCGGAGTCCAAATGACCCCTCAAATCCTCATTTAAAGGCCTCTTAAACTCAAGCCCTAATTACCCATTTTTCCAAATTTTTCATCACTAATTAGGTCTTTAATCACATAAAACGAGTTATGAAGTCAAGGACGTTACCTCCAAGTAATTATCCTTTGTTTTCCTCAAAAAATCTCCCTCAAAAGCTTCAAACCCGGATGAAAATGGTGACAGAATGGCTCAATTTTGCAAAGGCAACTATTTATATGTTCTGCCCAGCGATTCCCACATTTGCGGCCTTGATGCGGTCCCGCTTCCGCGGAACAAGTGTCGCATCTGCGACTTTCACTTAAGGACCCAGCTTTCGCATCTGCGGAACTCTAACCGCAGGAGCAGTTCTGCTTCTGCGGACATTGCACCGCATCTGTGGTTCCTGAGGAAAATCCCAAATTTCGCTTCTGCGGCCCTCTACGACGCTTCTGTGGGAACCGTAAATGCGAAAGTACCAGAAGAACAGCTACTGCACAACTTCAACTCCAAAATTTCCTCCGTCAACCATCCGAATTCATTCTGAGGCCCTCGGGACCTCAACCAAAGGCATCAATATATCCTAAAACATTACTCAAACTTGTATCATTCTTCAAAACGCTTCAAACAACATTAAAACAACCAAAACACATCGGATTCAAGCCTAAGTTTCAAAAATCTTCTGAATTTTGCTTTCGATCAAAAACCCAACCAAACCACGTCTGAATGACCTGAAATTTTGCACACACATCCCGAATGACACAACGAAACTATTAAAACTCTCGAAATTCCATTCCGACCCTCGGATCTAAATCTCACTATCATACCGGAAATTTTGAAAAAATTCAACTTTCGGCATTTCAAACCTAAATTAGCTACGGACCTCCAAAACACAATCCGAACACGCTCCTAATCCCAAAATCACCCAACGGAGCTAACGGAACCATCAGATTTCCATTCTGAGGCCGTCTTCATACTGTTCCGACTATGGTAAACTTTCCAACACTTAAGCTCTCATTTAGGGACTAAGTGTCCCAAAACTCTCCAAAATTCAAAACCAAATATCCCGGCAAATCACATTTGTAGAAATAAACTTGACAAAAGCAGTTAATAGGGGATCGGGGCATTAATTCTTAAGACGACCGGCCGGGCCGTCATATTGACCTGGCCTCATCACTACTCTACAGAGGTTAGGCTTGATACTTACTAGGTACCACTGTGGTGGACTCATACTACACTTATGCACATCTTTTTTGTGCAGAACCAGGTACGTCAGATCGAGTTGGTTCTGAGACTTATGCTTGGTGTGGCTGGAGACTTCAAGGTACACTTGGTGGGCGTTCGCAGGCTCCGAAGTCACCTTCTATTGTATTTATTTCCATTGTTTCCTTTGTTCCGGAACAGAGACTTCTATTTCGAAATTGTACTATCGGTTTTTGGGTAGTACTAAATACTTGTACTACCGGTTTTGGGATTGTAAATTGTACAGAGACTTCTATTTCGAAATTGTTCGAAGTTAGTAAATATTGTCGTTATTTCTGTTAATGTTAGCTTACCTAGTTTTAGAAACTAGGTGCCATCACGATACCTTCGGAGGAATTTTGGATCGTGACATAAAGAATAACCTTTAAGAGGCTATACTCATTAAAAAAACCTGGAAATGGAGAAATTTTGGTGATATCTTCACTGTCAACTCGGATAAGGGTATTTTGGGATCAAAAGTGGACTAATGATAATTTTAAACCATTTACCAAACAATATGAGTTCTGACAAAAATATATTATCACTAAAGTCTCTTCCTCACAATCCATACGCATAACAAGTAGGGGTGTCAATGGTTCGGTTCGGCCGGTTATTTTATAAAATTTGTACCATACCAATTTTTCGGTTATTCTATTATGTATAACTAAAATTAGACTTTTCGAAACCGTCCCAATCATGTCGGTTTCTCTTCGGTATCGGTACGGTTCGGTTAATTTTTGGTATTTTTTTTAATATCATGTAAAATTCACCAGTAGAAGTAGAATTGCAATAACATACGTTCTTTTATAGGACTTAGCAAAACTCTCTAAATATTTTAACTGTTTAAAGGGTGATGAATTAAAAAAAAAAAGATGGCTAGAGTATAGATCCATCAACTATTCTACAACAACGTAAAAGAAATCAAACAAAGGCAAAGAAAATATTAATCACACGAGTTGAAAGATATACCAAGATGGGACTCAAGAATAAAGTCTATAGAAGATTAAATATTCAAAAAGATAAATCTAAATTATATGAAAGGAAACATATTTAATACATTGTAGTTTGCTACTCATAATCGCTAGAATACTTTGTGTCTTGCTAATAAAGATACTTGAAATAACTTAGTTTAAGTAGAAGTAGCATAATAGGTTTTAGGAATTAGTATTTTGAGTTTAATTATTTGTTGGCTTGTAATAGTTTTCATAATTCCAAGGCTCAAAGAAAATTTAATGCATTATTATTTTTAAACTTACTAAATAAATATATTTTCTATATATAAAATTTATTCGGTACAGTTCGGTATTTTTTTCGGTTTATTTTTATAAAATAAAAAATCTACACTAATTATCGGTGCGGTTATATATTTATATAAAAACCTACGGTTTCTTAAGAAAAAACCTAAAAATCGATTCGGTGCGGTACTGTTCGGTCGGTTTAGTCGGTTTTCGAATATCCATCGACACCCCTAATAACAAGTACTATTAAATTTTGATAAAGACTCAATGAGAAAGGATTTTCGAAAGGTCCCCCAAATAAGAAAGAATTTGGTATAAAACATGTGATTTCTTCAAAAAGTATGCCTTTTCACATTAATACAATGACATCCCTTTATTAGCATCACACTAAAAAGTGATAGATACTTGTAATGGTGATTATTTAACTTTGAAACAAGTAGTATTAAATGCATTGATGTTTCTTCATCCTAACTCTTTTTTTTTTTTTTTAATTATTTTTGTTAATTCCAGTATTAGCCATACAAAAACATGAAAGTCAGGTAAGATAAATATTGCAAAGCAGATATAAAAAAATGTCTACTAGTAATAAAAATAAATTTCGAATGTAGAAATGAAATTAGGAAAGACGACACCTATCGTAATTGTTATTTTTTGTTGGATACTTGAAAAATATACAATATTTTTGTTAGTATTAAATGATTCATTTGGGAGTTCTGTCGGTTGGATTAAAAGTGTTCGATTTTGTTAACTTAATTACTTAAAGGATCAAATGTACTCAATCTAATACATTAGGGACAAAAATAGACGTAGCCAAACTTAAGGGATCCTTTGGGTTAAAAATACATAAGTGGGGTGTACATTTCTGTTCCCCTCACTAACCCAACCACTGTACTCGAAACTAAGCCAAACATCAAACTACATTTTTAACCCCCACTAGCCAAATTAAAAAAATATTCATACTTGATCTATGAAAATTGAGAGTCTAATTAATCGTTTTACAAATGAGCTCAGCTAATTTAGGTCAATTGTTTCGTGTAAGATTCTCATTGAGGGAATGGGTGAAAGGTAAGAAGTACAATACGAGCAAGAAAGCATCTAAGATTTTTATACAAATAATCAGTCGGATTTACTATTCAACTATAAGTATTTTTTATCAATTATGAATATCTATGTATTTATCCGATAGAATTCTAGAAGAGTGTGGGCCGTGCAGGCGTGAAGTGGCTTACTGGGTTGTTTAATGTTATCTTTAAGACGAAAAAGATGCCCGAAGAATGGAAGTGGAGTACAATGATTTCTTTGTACAAAAACAAGGTTGATATCCAAAACTGCAATAACTATAGGGGTATCAAGCTGTTGAGTCATACTATGAAGATTTGGGAGAGGGTGGTGGAAGTCAGGGTGAGGAAGAGTGTATCTATTTCCGGGAATCAATTTGGATTTATGCCGGGGCGATCGACTACGGAAGCTATTTATCTGGTGAGGAGATTGGTAGAGCAGTATAGGGAGAGAAAGAAGGACCTACACATGGTATTTATAGACCTAGAAAAGGCGTACGATAAAGTTCTAAGGGAGGTTCTGTGGAGATGTTTGGAGGTTAGCGGCGTTCCGGTAGCTTACACTAGGGTAATGGGAGGTGACTCAGATCACTTCCCAGTAGTGATGGAATTGCACTAGGGATCAGCTCTTAGCCCGTTCTTATTTGCTCTAGCGATGGATGTGCTGTCGCGAGACATTCAAGGGGAGATGCCATGGTGCATGTTATTTGCCGATGACATAGTGTTGATTGATGACGAGGAACGGGGTCAATGCGAGGCTGGAGGTCTGGAGGCAGACCTTAGAGTCTAAGGGTTTCAAGTTGAGCAGGACCAAAATGGAATACTTGGAGTGTAAGTTAAGTGACGAGACTCATAAAGCGGACGTGGATGTGAAGCTTGATACCCAAGTCATCCTGGGGAAGGGTAGTTTCAAGTATCTCTGGTCTATAATCCAGGGTAACAAGGAGATTGATGATGAGGTCTCCCACTGTATCGGTGCGAGGTGGAGGAAATAGAGGCTCACATCTGGTGTTTTGTGTGATAAGAAGGTGCCACCAAGACTTAAGGGTAAGTTCTACAGAGTGGTTGTTAGACCTACTATGTTGTATGGGGCTGAGTGTTAGCCAGTCAACAACTCCCATGTTCAGAGAATGAAAGTAGCAGAAATAAGGATGCTAAGATGGATATGTTGGCATACGAGGAGAGATAAGTTTAGGAACGAAGTTATTCGGCACAAAGTTGGAGTGGCCCCTGTGGAGGACAAGATGCGGGAGTTGAGGCTGAGATGGTTCGAGCACGTACAGAGGAGGAGTGTGAATGCTCCTGTTAGGATGTGTGAGAGGTTGGCCGTGGTGGGTCTGAGAAGGGGTAGAAGAATACTGAAGAAGTATTGGGGAGAGGTGATTAGGCAAGATATTGCGCTACTTCAGCTCACTGAGGCCATGATCTAGGATAGAAGGGTGTGGAGGTCGAAGATTAGGGTAGTTGGCTAGTAGGTAGTCGAGAGTTCCCCATTCTTTTTTAGTAGTATTAGTAGCTCCCTTGTTTTTTTCGTTCGCTCTGTATATCGTATGTTCCAGCTTGTTACTGTTTGATGCTATTTTCTGTTACTGATTTTATTGTTGTTGTTGTTGTTGTCGTCGTTTTTATTGTTGTTGTTGTTGTTGTTGTTACTATAGTTGTCTTTCTCCCCTTTTCCTTATCGTCCTTCGTCCCCCTGTTCTTTCTTTCTTCTTCCTCCTTCTTCTTCATCTTCTTCCTTTCTCTCTTTTCACCTTTTTTTGAGTCGAGGGTCTATCGGAAACAGCTTCTCTACCTCGTCAGGTAAGGGTAAGATTTACATGCACACTATTTACCCTAAATCTCACTTGTAAAATTATATTAAGTATGTTATTGTTGTTATTGTTATGTATTTATCCGGTGTGGATCTAGGCGGATCTGCCAGAGCCCTTGAATTTTGAGTACTGAATGATTTAAGAAGAAAATTAAAAAAAATAAGAATCTATGTACATTTATTATTATTGGGTAGTAGTTATAACCATGTGCAACATAACTATTACTTAGACAAATAGTACAAGAAGTACCCTTATTATGAAGACTTCGTGCAATGACCGACGAAATAATTTTGTTTTTTCACCGCTATAATATATTAATTGCAGAAATTGCTGATATAATATTAAACAGTGGAGGGCATGCAGAGGCGAATGTAATTTTCCTAATGAGATTCATATGAATCCAGTATTTTTATCACGAAAAATAAATTTATATGTAAAAAATTATTTAAATTATAATAAAAAATAGATACGGATTCATATTTTCTAATATACAATAAGTTTTAAGCTTATAAATTTTAAATTTTGTATCGCTGGTGTAGAGGCACGAGGTGATGTCTTTTATGACTTTACCTATCTTTAAACCATTGATATTAGAGATTAAGGGGTCGTTTGATACGTGGGATATGGATAATAATTCCGAGATTAAATACAAAATTATTTTATTCTGTATTTAACTGAATTTTTAAATATGAGATTACAATCCCGAGATTAATTAATCTAACAATTGGGTTTAATCTATCCCACATCTAACAATTGGGTTTAATCTATCCCACATTGAGGGTAGGATAATAACTCGAGATTAATTAATCTCGAGATTAGCACTAAAATAACAAAAATGTCCATTTCCAACGCTCTTCCCCGATCTTTTAAACAATTCAAGGTTAAAATTGAAAATAAAAGTTTATTCAATTCTAATATATACCAAATACATATTTAAATTACCCGTATATCTCATTTTTAGTCCGATGAGTCAAACCTCTTCCCATGAAAAAATATTCACTAAATAATTCCGGTACTATTTAATCCCCATAATATAATCTCATCATTATATTCCGGGAATCATTTGTTCTCCTGTCAAAGTGTCAGTCATCCTCTCATTGGCCATCTCTATCTCCATAATAACTGGATATCGGATTTTATACAGCAGCTTTTTTCTTTTACTTAAGAGGCCGTTTCGACATTAAAAAAATTTCACTTCTTCCGAAATCTTTTTATTTTTTTTCGAAATCAGTGTTTGACTATAAAATTTTTAATTTTTACTTGAAGATGAAATTTAAAAAAATTTGAAAATTTAAAAAATTCCAAAAATCTATTTTTCAAAAATTTCACTCAAATCACTCACAAAACTTGAAAAATAACCTAAAATAGTATTCATGTTTTTGGAATTTTACAATTCTTATGTGCAAACGCACACTTATATATATGACATTGCTTTCAGACAGTACTCTGTAGGACATTATGATAGTAATTGATAATCAACTATTATTGTAAAGACATTGTACAATATACCCACACAAGCCTAAGCACTATACTACTATTAGTTTGTTCCTGTATAGAAAGAGGCTCTTTTATTTTATTTTTTCTTTTCCAATGATTGTTATTTCTTTTACTAAATCAGAAAAATAAGAGACAAAAGTTAGACATAACATTTATGATTCAACCTAATTTTACTAAGTCTAAAATAGAGGAAGTACCCATAGAGAGGAAGTTAAGTACCCATCCTCTTTAAGAATGAAAGTAATGTGGTGCTAGCCGTAACTTTATAAACAACTCCCCTAGGGATACAATATGAAAACCAAATTTAAAAAGATTAAATTCAAGAATTAAATTGCAATTATTTTGTCTTTTTTTTTAAAGTAGCGTATTAAAAGGCACTAGAACATGATGCAACGTATCCAAATTATAAATTTCATCAACTCTCTATTGAGTTTCATCTTCATGTTGGAACTTACTTTGCGCTATATATTCAAAGATATTTTTAACATAATATGATCATATTATCTCGTCGTTGGGATCAAACTCGTACCTATTTTTCCCTTTCAAAAGGCTTGACACTGTCTATACACCTCCTATAATTATCCTTATTCTTCCAACATTCTTCATCACCATACTCATAGTGAAATTACTTAAGTTGTAAAATGTTTAGGATGTGATTTATATTTTATAGGTTGTCAATAAAGATTTGACTCGGAATAGTTTGTACATAAATATATTATTTGTTCTCCGTCTTCCTTTTCTTCTGTCGATCGAGTTTTCGAGTATCAAATTCTTAAATATGGACCTTGTTATGGTTACTTGTATTTTCTCCCAAGCCCTTGATTTTCCTTTGAGAAATTTAATTTCATACAATGCTTTTTCTTTTCCATGTCATTATAAATTTATTTCAATTACAAGTTGGTCCTAATGTGATAATTTCTTTGTTGTATATTCTAGTGACTTAACCTTTACTAGCAAGTTAGTTATCTTTTTACCAGGTTACTAATTAATATTTATCATAGAGAATTATGTATAATTACATTATGAATGATTTGTTGTGTATATAATAATAGATTATTGCTTTTACCAACCAGGGTTGTGGTGGAGTGGTAAGTACTCCTTCATCCTTAATCAGAGGTTTCGGGTTTAAGCATTGTGTATAGAGTCGCCTTTGTGCTTTGCCCCCAATATGAGACTTTTCAGTACGAATCCGGATTTAGTCGGGGCCTAATGCAGGTACTGAATACCGGATAAAAAACCCAAAAAAAATATTATTGTTTTTAAAAGGGGAAAAAAATGAACCACAGAAGATAGAAGAATTTTGATATATCACATGGCACAGAAGATTAGAAGGTCAATAATAAGGATCACATTAGTCATGAGTACAATAATTGTATGGCATCGTTATCTATTACTTTAAAGAAGTGATGTATATTGACCGAGACAAAACCAGGATTTGAAGTTTATGGATTCGAAATTTTAGTTCGATTATGTTACTGCGTTCTAAATTAACAATAGATACATATTCAATGAATTTTTAAAAACAAAGACAGAATTTGCACCAAATTAAAGTTACTGGGTTCACCTAAACTCGCAATTCATACGCTAGCTCTGCCCCTACATATTGAGAGTTTTGAGAAGCCATAGCTAGTACCAAAAAAATTATAATTAGTTATGTTCATAGCTAATGAAAATTTTAGATAATTTGTCATTAATCCGTCACAAAATAAAATTAGCAACGAATTTTGTTTAGTTACAGAATTTATCCGTCGTGAATTCTTGATTTTTAAGTGGTGAGCAAAGTACATGGTTTTTCCTACACACGGGCTCTACATCTGTTATTTCCACGTTAGCGTGCTTGTGGAAATAGCTAAACCAATAGGCAGATAGTATGGAAGAATACACAGAAGAGTCCTTTGATCCAACTCTTTTTTATACAAAGAAGGCAGAATAGCCTAATAGACACTTGTACTTGTTTTCATTTATCATCTTGATCCCTATAATTAATAAAGTTTCATCCAGACACTTACACTTATTCAAAGTCAATATTTCAAACCCTTTTGCGTGTCTTTCAATCGCATGGTGCTAGAATTCACGTCAGATAAAAATATGCCACTTTAGCATTTTTAGAAAAAAATTACATGAAAAAAAAAACTCTTTATCTTTCCTCCCTCTTTTTTTTAAACCTTTTCTTTATTTTTCTTTCTTCTCCACCATCATCCTCTCCTTACTGTACTGCCTGAATCTAGCCACCAGATAACACCATGAACATTACTCTCCCATTCCCAATTCCTTCATAAGAACCCTTATCCCACCTCTACCTGAATACCTTATCTCCACCATATTCTTCTCTCTAAATACAGTTGGCCAACCATAGTAGCAACCCAATTCCGTTATTCTTCTCGCCATTTTCGTCTTATCTTCATTCCTTCACTCATTCACGATTTCACTAGCTTTAAATCCCGCTCCTTCCCCTGTTAAGACCTTGCTTTTCAGAAAAGGGTTCCTAATATTTTAATAATTTTAACTTCATCCCTATATAACAACAACCATACAAGAGTAATAAAAATTAAAAATTTCTATCAATTAAATTACACTATTTTGTACTAAAAACAAATATTCACAAAGCAAACAAATAATGGCAAACAGATAATTAACTAGACCATACAAAGGAAAATTAGATCTAT